CCCCCTCCCCCCGCCGATGCACCCAGCACGCATGCGCGCTGGCAGGCCGCCGTACTCCAGACGAGCGTTCGTTGTGTTTGAGAAAGGTTGGGTCTGCCGGTGCCTCGCCTCTTGCCGCTCACTCGGACTCGGCTCCGCTCGGCTCACTCCCGCGCTAGCCTCCGCCCGGCTCGGCTGTAACGTCCCGATCGCTCCCGGCCCGCGTGTCCGCTCGCGAGCCCCCGCCGCCCCCGCCGCGCCCCCCGGCCTCCGCGACAGTGTTGTTGTTGTTGACGACGACGTCGTCTGCTCGGTCATGTGATAGCGCGTCGACACGGATTTCAGTGCCAGTGCCGCCCCCGCAGGGTGCACCTGTGTTGTTGTTTTTAATTGTGTTAGTTTTGTTTTTATCATCTGAGTGCAAGTGCAGTGACAAGGCGCCTGACTGGCCCAGCCCGTTTGGATAGTGCGCTGGCTGGTCGTTGTGGAGTGCAGTGAAAGTGTGGTGATTTTCGTTTCTACTTATTAAATTAAATGAAAGTGGGGTGACAAGGATTTCATCATGAGTGCTGACTATACAAGAAATGTGTCGAGCAGTTCCTCCAACAACATGCATCACGTGAGCAGCAGTTCCAATAAGGGTGGACGCCCAGTGTCCATCCTCCCCAACATGTCGATACAAAACATGTCCAACTGGGGGCTCATGAACATGGCCAATATGGCCAACATGTCAAACATGACCAATATGTCATACCCTATGATGCGTCCCAGTGTCATGGTGAAGCAACGCAAGACAAATTTCACTCAACGAGAAGTGGATGCTTTGATCAACTCAGTTCGCCAGCACCAGGACACGGTACTTTTTGGTGTGGCTGGTGGGCCAGGATGGGCTAAGGCCTGGACTCAAGTGGCCGCTGCAGTTTCAGCTGTGGAAGGCATTGTGCGCAGTGAGGGTGATGTGCGTAAAAAGTGGACTTACCTCAAGTGGGAGGCCAAGAACACAAGCAAGCCGGACAGGGACTCTACATCTCGTGCAGTGCTACAGATACTAACGAGTCGTCAAAATCAAATTGATGCTGCAAACCAACACGTCTTGGGTGGCAGAGGCGGGAGGAGGGATGATATTATGAATGACTTGAGGAATGACATGCGTGTCAGTGAAGCCCTTCGTGGAGAAGCTCTTCGAGAAGCAGTCCAGCAGTCATCTCGCAGCCTCCTGGAGGAATTACTAGGTGAGCTGAAAATTAATCAAATTCCCAGTCTAATCTCACCTGGTGTGACTTTAATTTCTCAAATTAAATCATGCTAGAAGAAAATTAGAACTGTCAGTGGCCTTTGATCATGCCTGTCAGAATTTTTTTTAATGCAGTGTAAATTTGAACTTAATTTTTCAAGTGGTGGGGTGGCCGGGCCGGGCCGGACCTTTAGGAAAAAACTTGCTATAGAGCAGGGTACCGTCATGTTCAGAATAACGGGGCTGGCTGTGCATTCGAAACGGTACCCGTCGGTGGCCGTCGGTGCCCCTGTGTGCTCGGTCCTTGTCTCTCATCGGGCCGCACTAATTGAGCGCGAAAGAGACTGTCACGGCACAGCCCGTGGCACAGGTGCCCTGCTCCGCCCTGCTCCGAGCTGCCCGCCGTGCTCACCTGTTTAGCGGCGTGGTGCGACGCGGCGCGGAGGTCCGCGCCCCGCCCCCCTCGGCGAGTGCGAGCGAGTGAATCACGCATTCTCGGATTCACTCCCTCTTCCCGCGAGGAGACCGTTTTCTCGGGCGTTTTGGGGGAGTTCCGACTGTGATTGACGTCATCATACACCAGACAATGTCGTTCAGTTATACTGTATCACATGGAGTCGTGCGGACGCGTTGCCTCCCTGCAAGGGGTCAGAACGCGCGGCAGGCAAGCCGCACGGCGCACGGCGGCATTCGTTTTGTGTTCAGGGCTGATATTTTGGGTATGTTACGATAAATTTGAGGAAATTTTAATAATACGACGATAGATTTGTCATGGCCCTTCAAACACTTCGCATGAAGAGCTTTGAGACACCTTACACCGCACCTGAAATGACGTCATTTCGGCACGACCCCCTTTCTTTTGGGGAGTTCCGAGTGGCATTGCACACCCGGTCGGCCGGGAGCTGGGCGAGAGGGCCCGGCTGGAGAACAAGGAAGTGTACTGTGCTGTTGCTGAGGATGCATCAGGTTGGGGGGGCGGCGGGCCTTCCCAGCCTAGGGCGGCCCCGCGGCACGGCCGTGGGTCCTGGCCTACGGCAGCCTACGGTAGGTCTCCACCAGGGAGGGCCGTCCCAGCCTACGGTGGCGGCGGTGCGGCCTACGGCAGCCTACGTGCAGGCCTGCCAACCCTCGGGAGAGCATCGTCTTCCCTCATAGGACCTTGAAGTGAAACCTAGGGCGGCCGGCCACCTACGGGAGCCTACGGGAGCCTACGGGAGCCTACGGGAGCCTACGGGAGCCTACGGGAGCCTACGGGAGCCTACGGGAGCCTACGGGAGCCTAC